GCCCGCGCTTCCGCCTCCGGCCCGGCCCTGCGAGCGCCGGGCGGAAACCACCGCCCGAGCCGAGCGTTCCCGGCGCGGCGGGGCGGGGCCGGCCCGGGGCTCCCCCGCCTTCCCCGCGGGCCGGGAGCCGCCGCCGCCGCCGCTCGGGGACACGGCCCAGCCCCCCGAGAGCAGCGCTGCGCACACCGGGCACGGCACAGCCCCGGGGCACAGAGCTCAACCTGCCCAGGGCTGCGGGGCCGGGCACGAACGCCAGGAGGGCAGCACGGGGCTGAGCCCTGCGGAGGAAACACGGCGCGAAGGCTGACTGCGGGCTGCCGGGAACGCTGTCAGCCCCCGTGTTACTGGAGGCGTTTGCCTTGGTGGCATGCAACAGCTGGGAAGTAACCAGTCGCTGTTCAACGCTGAGCTGGAAGTCTCCGTTGTGAAAGGTGCTGGGAGGGAGGTGAAAAGGTGTATGACCTGCCTGCACTCTCTGGTAAAACTCCAAGCATTGTTCAGCTCCAGGTTCAGTCTGCAAGCATCTCCCCACCAGGCAGACACGGGATATCCACAGCCAGCAATATCACACTCTCCACAGCCAACTCACAGTCCATAGCCAACTCATTAAAACAATTTAAACTTTTAAGAAAATCTCTGTTTTATTGTGTAACGTAGCATTGAAACATCTGAACAAATCAATAACTGGGCTGTACAGGCTGCTGTTCTTTCATTTCTTTGGGTTATAAGAGCATCTTGTCAGTACATAAACAACAACCTTTTGCATTATAAATTCTTTCCGAGGCATGCTGGTACAACACAAAATTTCTCTTTATCAAATGCAGCTAAGTCTAACTTCCAAACATCATGCACAAGAAACTCATCTAGTGACAATGTAAACTCAGCAGAAGGGCAGGTCACAAGTCTTGCTTGCTCACGCTCTGCAGTGCTGCAGGTTTGTGTATGATATTTGGAATGTTCCGTGAGTGTGAATAATACCAGTTAGGAGGAGAGGAGGAAAACAAAAACAAAACAAAACAAAAAAAAGCACGGGAGCCTCGGGCTGGGCAGCTCAGCCGAAGTTGTGCAATGCTAGCCTGAACATGTCATTGGTGCAAACCCAGGCATCGTTGATGTTCTTTAATAGAAATATCTGGTGGAACCCCATGATAGGATCTTCATCAGCCTGTGGAAAGAGAAGCGGGGAAAAAAAGGTCAAAACACTCTTTTATTTGAGAAATTTATTCCAAAATTCATGATAAGATGACTTAAAGCTGACATTAAGTGAGGGCACATGCTGTAAGAGATGTAGAACCTCAGGAGTCACTAATGCCACCAGGGTCTGTTCCAAGGGGCTTTGCAGACAAACACCCAGCGCCCAGTGACACAGAAATCCTGCATCAACACCTGAATTTGGAGTTTCCTGGAAGACCTGCAGACATGTCACTCCGTGGCTTCATCACACTGACAGAACATGCCTCCCTCAGTGTTAAATCACAAATGCCTTGCCCAGGAATCAAGCTGGTTCAGTTTTTATCTGCTGCATTTGGGTTGATGACAGAAGGGAGTTTCTGTAGAAGTTGGTATTAACAGCACTGCCTGAATGAGCCAGATAATGCTCTGGGCTTTGAAAGCCTTCCCACAGCAGGTACAGCTGGCCAGCAACCTAGTCCATCCCACTTCTGCTGTCTAGGAACAGCTGGAAGGGAGTAAAATATTTGCCAGAGCTGCAACCACGTGTTCTAAATCCAGGGAACCTCTGCAGCAGTGCCTCCACTCCTGCCTCTGACAACATGTCTGGGCACTCCAGTGCAGTACCTGGACATTTACAATATTACTACAAAAGCAGAAAATAGTATTAGAGGGAGATCAGTTCTCCCACCTAGTATTTATTTACCAGTCTTCTCAGAGGCATCATGCAGGAATTAAATCCTCAAAATAACACAAATGATTCCCAAATCAGTCAGCTGGAAATCACACAACGGGATTTAATCTGAACAGCACACAGGACCAAACTACAAAACTATCTTCTGATACTGGCTGCAGCGTGTTCAATTCAGCATTTTTGGAGGATTTTAAGCTTTATTCTTTCAACACATGACTATTCTCCTTCAGAAAAAGGGGGAAATGCATAAAAAAGAGCCCTGACAAGCAGCAGCCAGAGCAGCACATGAAACAGGCTGTCAAAGCGCTGAACGTTCACTGGCAGTGCTCTACTATTCACTGAGAACAGCAAGTGAAAATGTGAAGAGCAAAGCAGACTACAAAATAAAAAAGGAATTTTACTAAAAAAGAAGTAATATTCACTTAAGTGATAAATGGACTGTGAAACAAGTCAGCTTTGAGGAGCAACTTGCAAAGGACAAGAGTCATATCACAGAATAGCAAGTCTGCCAGAGAAGTGGGGGGTTCAAGTGCATGGAAAAGAAGCATTCAGATCCAAAAACCACTGCAAGGATTTCAGTGACAACTGCCCAGGAAGTTAAATGGCATAGATGAAGTGCAGTTTCAGTAAGTGTATGCTAATTCACAGAGGAAAACCAAAAAGGGCCCTAGGGTCACCCCTCAGGAAAGTGACACTGAAATAACGATGGATATTTATTTATTAAACCAGCTGAGTGCCCAAAAGCTATCAAGGTAAGCACAGGGTTAGCAGTTATTAGGGAAGGAACAGAGAACCAACACCCACATATCAAACGTCGCATGCATTTCTTATCTTTGAAAAAAATTAAAATGTCAGAAAAGGACAAGAAAAATGATCCAGCTACCAGACAGCTTCCTGCTGAAGAAAGTAAATTGAGTACAACCCTGGAGCTTGCAAAAATGTAATCAGCACTGGCATCAGCTGGGCAAGGCAAAAAAATTACTATAAAACCATGAAGGAAACTGGTACAGCCAGAAGTTAAGAAGGCAACAAGTAAGGCCAGAAATATGAGCAAGTCAGTGTTCAATAGATGAACGAATGAAAGAAAAATCCTTCAAGCAAGACAAGTGCTGACAGAAGAACCGGGCAGCTTGGCTCCTCAGCACACACCTCCCTGAGCATGAGGAAAGCCCAGTGTGCACACAAGCAATTAGGCTGGATTAGCTTATTTCAAGGGAAGTGTTATCCTTGCCACATCTGCCCAGAAGAGAGGCTTGGTGTCTGTGCTGCAGAGGAAGCCTGTGCCATGAAACCTGGGGGTTTGTGCCTTTGGCACCTTCTCCCAGGTATCAAATGTAGCACATCCCAGTACAGCCTCACTGCTGCTGGGGAGTTGGCAGGTTCTCAGCCCTCAGTTGCCCTATGGTCTCTTCATTGTGGATCACTGAGGCATCTATTACAAGTTGTTTTCACACCAAATTGGAGCTTGTCATTACTGACATGAGTAGGTTTTAAAATGCACCTGTGGAAAAAAAATACCACCACCAGCCTGGCTTAGTGCAGGTCTCCTCAATTTCTGATAAGCCTAGGTAGGCTCTGGCAAAAGCACTGCAGCTCTTGGTACTTTGGCTTGAGGAAAATTTCCTCCTTTCTTAAGCAATTCAGGACCAGACACATGAAAAAAGATTAAAAGGGAATTCTCTCCCAAAACACTTGCTGTGGTACAGATGGTGAATTCCCAAAATGAAGTCACACATTATTGTTTTCTTTATTCCTTTCATGTTATGACTTCACAGCACAAAAGAGCAGTATACTTGAAAAACAAGGAAAATTCTAGACTATATTTAAGATAGGGTAAATATTTTATAGTCCATTCCCAAAATTTGGACTATCAAAAATCTTTCCTTGTGTCCAATCCGTATCTCCCAAGTTGTGGTTTCTAACCACTGTCCCTTGTTCCATCATCTGGCACCACCATGAAGAGTTTGCTCTCAGGTTGTTGGAAGTATTCAACTATTTTCCACTCACATTTCAGGCCAATTACCCATAGCCACCTCCTCTCCCAGCTCCACAAGCTCTTCAACACCTATAATCTTGGCAGCTTTTTGACCTCTTCCAGTTTTTCTACATCCCTTCTGACCTGGAGGCTCAAAAGAAAGTCCTCAGCTCATAGAGCCATAGGTCATTCAGAGTTTTAGATGCAAGACTGCTTTGCAATCCAAATGTAGCTGCACGACTTTCCTCCTCTTGTCTGGTCAGAGACAGTTTTACTCCTTCACCAGCATCCCCAGCAACTGTGGATTGAACTGCAGTGTTGCAACAACCCTCACCTCAAAGGAAAGGCTAATTACTTCAGATTGCAGGTTCTTTCACATGTTAAGCCTCATTTAACAGGCTTTAAGCAACGCTTTAAGTATTCAGCATGCATTACAAAAACATCCAGTGATTTTAATCGCAAATTTCCTTTTCCTTTTAAGACTAGGAAACACCGCATAACAATTAGTTATTCACAATTAATTCTGCAACAATCACTTCAAAATTCACACTCTGGGGAGAGCCACAGATCTGCCACACGGGCTCTGAGAATGCCAAGCCACAGCCATGCTCCTCAGCCGAGCTCAAGGGACAGAAGGGCGAGAAGAGAGCACTCCTTACTCAACCAGGACAGCGAGGACTGCATGGAAGACAGGTAAGGCAGAGGGTTAAACGTTGTGGAGGGATAGCCTGAAGACTTCGTTGGTGCACACCCAGGCACCTTGCAAATTTTTCAACAAAAAGGTTTGGTGGAAGCCTAGAACCTGGTCATCATCTGCCTGAGCGCGACAGGAGAAATATGTTACGAGGTGGAAGCACAGTGGAGGGACGGGGGGACATTCTGGAGGAACATCAGCAAAGCAGGGTCACACCAAATGGAACTCACTCCTAAAGGCTTAAACCCATCCTTACTCCTCCTAGTTGAAGCAAGCAAGCAGCCCCCAAACAATGAACAGCAATAAAAAAAACAGGATTAGAATAAGTGGATGTATATTTTTATTATACCTCTTCAAAAGGATAAAAAAACACCCCAGACATTAATACCTATCTCAGCAACCACTAAAAGAGGATCTTTCATATGTTTACTTAGAAACATGTTTTTACAGTGAAAGTTTTTGTGCTTTGGTTTATTCCCCCCTCTCCAATGGTTTAAGCAAGAAATACAAGATGTGCCCAGCTTTCTCAGAATGAATGATGTTTCCACTGAACTTTTGGGACTACTAGCAATTCAAGCAACTAATGCCTCAGAAAATCCATTTACATATCATGCCAGGAATGACAACTTAGAAAGGGCATGTTACAGGTATTTCAGCACTATTATTTTCTTGGGTTGCTCTATTAAAAGCATTATGTATGCTCCTTCATTACATGAAACCATGCACGTTTTGAAAAACTGCAGAGGATTAAAAGCATGTGCATTAATTGTCCTGGACTTTCAGGAATTTGGCTCACAGTTCCATGAAAAGGATAACTGAATAGCAAGCAGGAAGCATGGCTTTTCCCTTCAAACTCTGCTACTGATGGTCTTGAAAGTGCCCTTCCTTGTGCAAAATTCTCTACAGTTTTCTTACCAACAGATGTGGGCTGAGCAGCTACACCATTAAGAAGGCAGCTTTAAATAACACCAAGTGTGCAGCTCCACATTTGCATGTTAAAGTCTTCCCTGTTCAACTGGAGCTACAGATGAGCCACTTGTTAAAATGCACAAACCTGGATCTGGTTGCTCTCAGTCACTGTACTGCACATAGCCCAGCACTGCAATGGCTGTCAACATGTTTGAATTCACACCAGAAGAAATATTCACTCCATATGACAGCCAGGTTCACGTGCTGGCAGGTTCATGTTCATGTCAGGCTACAGACTGGTACTGATCTTTCATTTGTCCACCTGTATGAGCCTCACACAAGGCAGAAGTATGAAGTTAAAAGTTCCAAGTTCACTTTGACTTTCTGGACACTTGTTCAGTGTCCAGTGAGAAGCAGCATTCCCAGGGATTATGATGTGATTTTTAAAGCTAAGGTTTGAGACACATGCATGTGAAGGGCAGAAAAATGTTTCCTCATCTACTAAAAATTCACCAACAAGTTGGGTTTCATCATGACAACAGGCATACTTTAAGCCAGTATGTTCTTTCCAAATACCTAGATGCACTAACACATGATCCCTAAATTATTCTGAGTAATTTCAGCAAGCTGAAATTATTCAGAGGATAAAAACGGTACATTAGGAAATACTACTCCAACTCATGGTATTTATGGAAAGCTCCTGGACTGTATTTACAATCCCTCTGTATTAATGGATGAGAAAACCCAATAGCTTTACAAAATCTTTAAGAACTTGGTATCTTGCCACAGGATTCAATACCAATCACTGTTGCAAGCTGTGATCTGCTTGATGATTATGCAATAACCTTAAAAACATGACTGTGCAAAAACAGGTGCAGATGAGACTGGCCCAAGACATTGGGTCAAAAAGCCTTGGTCGTATCAGAGTTGTGTGCACACCCAAGAGCAAAGCTGAGATCAGCATGTCTGCCTGCATCCCTGTCCTGCCATTCAGTGACTTCCATGGTATATTGTGGCTGTCTTTCCTCTGGGTGTGCATGTGGGACTGAACTACAGGAAAGCTGGAATCCAAATTGCAGCTGGGAAGCAGGAGCAACTTTAATGAGAGCCAAAGCTGCCTATGTTAGGTTTAAAAGTGGATGCAATACACTGGCCACTGCTCTTCTCAACTGCCCAGCCCAAAACAAAGAGAACAGCTAAGCAAGCAGATTCAAACTTTAAGTCCTACGTTTGCTTAGTAAATAGTACAGTGTCAGTGGGAGTTTGAATGCCTTGACACTGGAGGTGTCATTCAGAGTTAACAGGAAAAGGAAATCTAAACAGCTCTTTTAAAACAAACTGGGTTCAGGTAACTCTAAAGACTGGATGGTGTGAGAGGCCTGACTTCACAGCATGGCTGGACCAAACTAACTCTGATGATTTTAACTACTGCCATGTAATTTCATGATTTTAAACAAACACCACTCACCCTGAGCAAGTTGACTTTACACACAGGATAATTTTTTTTGCAGATTCCAGGACAATATCTTTCATTAATAAGCAGTTTAATTAATTTGTGGCCCTGGTATACTGGGAGACAGGGTAAGTTTACACGGCTCAGGAGTATCACTCACACAGCAATACAGTCATCCTACAGCCTGGAAAATAATCTGATTCTTCACACAAGGAATCTGTCACAACACTAAGTGTTTGATCTCAGAGGCAGCATTCCCACTGCTGAATCAGTTTTGACAACAGAGGTACTGGACTGCATTAACACCAGGACCGAATTCTTGCGTCCTGTGACAGCAAGGAAGAAGTTTGGACTCACTGAAGGGTGGTCAGCTAACAACTGAAGTTCTGCTAAATCAGAGCTCGATGCAAACATTACAACAAAGAGGACGTTAAACTACATGTGCTTATACTGTCCAAGAACACTGTGATGATGCTTTTAAATGCAACAGAGGGCACTGAAACCTTCCTGCATCAGGGTAAGGGAAATAATGATGCCTCTATAACCCACATGGTATTTGTAAGCACAGTAGAAGTCATGGTACTTTGCCTGACAGAACATATGACTGTCAAATTGCAGGTGGTTCACCTAGTGTGAGATATCTGGAGGGATGAACAGTTTCTTGACAGTCCTGCACAGCAGAAGAATGGTGTCCCAGTGAAAGCTTACCCATGTTCCTTCCCCACCCACAAGAGCATTTTAATGTTTTCAGAAATCAGATGATTTAGAATCCTGCAAAAATCTAAGACATAAGCACTTGTTAGCCTGTAATGAAAAGAGTTTACCTTAAGCTGTCCCACTACCATACTGAGTATACAGCTGTCAGGTGTAGGCTGGTGGTCTTGTGCTGTGATGCTGTGTTGTATTTTTTGGAAAGGGAGGCTCTGCAACGAAAAGAAATCAAGATAAGGAAAGGTACAGTAATTGCATGATTTAACTTACAAAACAAAGATTGAGCAAACTCAGCGTTATGAAGTGTTAAGACTGTTGCAGTAGTACTGCACAGAGAGCTGTTGCAATTATGCTGGGTCACTTGTAACAATTGTGTTTTTCAAGCACCAAGAGAGGAAATAATGTTACCATACATAGTAAATGGAACCTTTTCCTACTCTAATTGCACTGCCTGAAGGGCTTCAGATCAGCTGTAAGCTCAAAGTTCATATGACGAAGGCACAAACCTCTGCTCTGAACAGTGTTAAAAGATTTTATCATCTAATACTTGAGGTTTACCAGAGAACTCCGAATTTGCTTCTTTGTTAAAGTGGCTATGAATGGAAAAGTGGACCCAGAACCAGTATTCCAGACTTGAAATCCACAATTCACCTCTCCCCTTTCGAATTTCCTTGATGCTCAGGTAGCCAATGTCAGTATGTCTGCAGTTATGTGTGCAAGGAACACATCTTGTGGACACTTAGACCACGTCCACATTCTGACCATGGACAATTCTAAGTGCTGAACAGCAAATATCTGGGGGGTCTCAGAGTCCTGTCACACAAATGCAACTTTGGCACTGCTCTCCCAAAAGCTGCCTCACTGCCAGATGCTTAGTGGCAGCTGAGCATGGATGGGGCTCTGGGTGACCATGTGGCTGATGCCCAGAGCCCAGGCACCGCACAGGATGGCAGCACGTGGTCATTCAAACCTTGGGTGGCACCTGGATGCCTTTGCTGCATTCCCCTGATTTGAAAACAGGTCAAAGCAGACCCAAACATGTACTTTGACAAGTTCTGCATTTCCCTCTAGTGGAAGGAGCCTCAAAGACTTCCTAGAAGGCTGAGGTAGAGACTGTCAGAGATGTGAAGTACAGCCTTGGCTCTACAAGCATGAGACTCTAGGAAGAATTCCAGGAAGCTAAATCTTTGGATAATAGAAAACACAGAAACTGTGGAAGGATCAGGGCCTGAAGAAGCAAATGAAGTGTATGGAGCAGCCCTCACTATTGAAGAACACCCTTTAATAAAGCTTGTGGTGTCTCTGCCTGGCTGGGAGGACAATCCCAACCAACTAGGAAGTGCAAAGTGGGTCAACTGGTTTGTAATATGGGACAGACATTTAGTAACAACCAAAAAAAAGAAAAAATCCAGGGTAGTCTTATCTACTGATGACCAGCAGACTATTTTCCAGGGTCACCATCCCAAAACTGAATGTGCAATGTGCCCACACAGCCTGCACAAGCACAGCCTGGGACATTGCACCATCTTCCTCATACAAAAGAGTACTACAAAGCCCAGTCCCACCTCAGCAGCTTCTTGTTAAACAAGTCCTGCAAAAAGAGCCACTTTAAAAGGCAGAGGGATGAAGAGGAATGAATGTAATTGTGTCCAGAACTCAGCTTTCAGTGTGACAAGAGAGGTAAGACTGGGGAGAGAAAACAGGGAGGAAGGAAAGCCTTTGGAATCAAGAGCTCTGCAAAACTGTGACAAGGAACCAAAGACTAGGCTGGGTAAGACAGTGCCTGTTTCAAGTACCCGATCCCACAGGACAAGAGGAAACAGCCTTAAGCTGCACAAGGGGAGGTTCAGGTTGGACATCAGGAAGAATTTCTTCACTGAAGGGGTGGTTAAGCGTTGGAACGGGCTGCCCAGGGAAGTCACCACCCCTGGAAGTGTTCAAGAAACAACTGGACATGGGACTTAGTGCTGGGGTTTATTTAACAAAGTGTGTTCAGTTCAAGGTCTTTTACAACCTTAATGATTCTATTATTGTTCCCTTCAGAGAAAAGGACCCCAAACAGCAGGCCAGGCTAGTGAGCTACTCATGATGCACTGGGGGAAATCCCACTGGAAAGAGTAGGAAAGTAGCTGACGGGAAAGTTCACTAATTTTTAGGATAAGCAGAGGGTATATCGAAAGGATGGCTGCTTATGGACATCCATCTACACTGGAGAGAAGGATTTTGTGATATGAAAAGTACAATAAATGTGTCTAAAAAGCATGAAGTCACACAACAACCAAGGCTTTTAGCATCCTCTGACACTAGAATTTGACTGGGCTCTCACTAGCAAAATTATGGAATCCTCCTTGAAGTCACACAAGAGAAATTATGCAAGAATAAAGCCGAGTAGCATAAACTCACTCCTAGCAACAAGACTACCTGTCTCAGCTTCTTCTTTGGTCCAGTATGTTCATAGAACTACATGATTATTATCTCAAATGGTAAATCAAGCTGCCCATAATTAGCACAGGCACTGCAAGTGAAACAAGCCCAGTACCAGTTAGGACACAAGGAACAAGTGTCACCTCCCACAGTGTAACAAGGTACAGGTGTGCCAGTGCTGGCAGAGCAATGCCCACATAACCCTCCCCTACTGTATTAGTAGACTGAAAAGGTGCCATAGCACTGCTGTTACACAGTAAAGAATTTGATGTAGAAGAAAATGCCACCTGTTGGTGCTCACATCGATTCACCAGCCAGGCCCTGAGGGACATGGGACTGCAGAAATGCAGAAGAATTTCAGTGTCACACTTTCAGGGATCTGCTCAACTGACTAAGCAGCTCCAGAAGCACAGAGTAGGTGAGCACATGAAGCTGACACAGCAAAGGGAGCCCAGGCAGCTCAGTGCTGGCAGAGGAATGCTGGGCGACATCAGTCACAGTAAGTTGATACAGCCCCGTAACAAGCTGTGGCAGTGGAAGGACACACAGTAACTCCACTGCACTTCTTTCTTACTTCAAGCAGATGAATGCAAGTCAGAAAAAGTTTCCCTGAAGCAAAGCAGTGTGTCTTCACTCACCAGTTAAGACTGCAGCAGGCACCTAAATCCAGAAAGTCCAACTCACATCACAGACAGGGAAGGTAAAGATGAGCAATGCTGAGGTGGGAAAGGGGCTGGATCTGCACTGGGCTGGATCCAAGGCAGCAGTCAGACACTGTGGCCAAGCAAATGCTTAGCTGGTTGGGTATCTAAATGGCTGCTAGCCCAGAAGTCTAAAGAACACTGAGTACGCAAACAAACAACTCTGGAGCTTGAGTATCTCCTCACCTACAAGCGAGCAGTTGCAAGCTGGGCTATTTCTGAGGTGCGTGGCCTTCTCAAAGGCAAGACAGGCACCTAAAACACAGACCTGAGGCCAAACCTTGGTCTTCACAGTTAAAGATGCCTTGGATGAAAGGAGTGATTCCATAAGACAGGAGCAGTAGCTGTGCAACAAGACAAGTGTCAAGTTACACTGATTTTTCTTCTCAGTGCTAAGTATGTCTGTCTGAAATACCGTGCTCTGAGCAGACTGTCTGATGACCTAAAAAGCACGTCCTTCACGTATCTTGAAAGAGAAACAAACTTCCTAGTCTCATGACAGCTCGTAAGTACACCCAGTTTTATAACAGAAGCATGAATTTACTCAGGAAGATAAAACTTCTCCAAGTTTAACTAAATGAACATGGAATTCCAGTGTCCTCTCACTTGCTGAAGAGGAAACACATGTTGCAAAGTCCTGAACCATACCTGCTCATATCTGAACTGCTGACAAATCTGCATTGAGGATAAGTCAGCTTCTCCACTACAGAACTTATTTGCAGTTTACGTATCAGAAAACAAGTTGTTCCTTGCAGTTATGTGTCTAGTCTTTATCACAGACAGATCCAAGTAACAGGCTTGCTATTGCTTCTTCCTTGGCATGCCTTAAAAGAGCAAAGACACCTTTCATTCCTCTAGATCAGAGGCAGCTTATGCATTAGACCTTTTAAAAAAGAATAAATCAATAATGTCAAATACAATTGCAGTCACAAAATAACCTTGCAAACTATGGAGTCAATTAACACTCCGCCATTAGAGTCACCAATGGAACACCCCACTACGTAGCATTAATTCACAACATTTTCTGAAGACCAAAGTTGGAAGCACAAGTTCCGTATTCAAGACTAACTCAAATTTTCAGAAGCAATTATCTTACAGTCTTCAGAACTGTTTCCCAAAACGTTCAGTAGGGTTTACAGACTTACAGTGAGTTTTTCAACAATGGCTGCTTTGCCCTGGAACTGCTGTCCTTCCCACGTAAGGCATGATGCATCAATCTGGGGGGGAAAGAAAGAAAGTCATCAACCCGCTCAGGTAACTCTCAAGCAATCCTGGTAAGAGGCTTTGTTTATTTAGGATATATCCTTAGAATCCAGCTATTTGAAAACTACCTCAGAGGGAGATAGAAAGAAACCACCAAGAGCAACTGAAAAAGTTTGGAACAATCAACTATAAACTAAATATACCACATTTCATTACCATGATCCTACCATCAAAAAACTTCCTGTCTTTGGATCAAAGTTAGCTTTTAGAAGAAAATCCAAAGGATACCAAAAAAATCCTATGGACACAAAGTCAAGCATGTGGAGAGAGAAAAATACATGAAGAAAACTGACTAAATGAGTTGCACCACAAGGGTGGTATTCCAACTCACCTAACTCAAACAATTCACAGCAAAAGTGACTGGCCACATCCCTGCCTGGGATAGGTGACAAAAGCTTGATTGACTTGGATTACACCACTAAAAATAAGCTGAATCTTGTGATGGAAGTAGTGATACAGGAATACAAACCAAATCCAAGAGCTCCCTGCTGCATTCCTCTATGCTGCAAACTTTGTTTGCTCCTACAGCATGTCTGAAGGCAAAAAGTTCATTGTTAAAAGCCCAATCCTGCAAAACCTCCCCAAATTTAGACAAATTGTGACCTTGGTGCATTTCAGCCACACAAAATGGGGTCCCATTCTCTCTCCATAGTTTAGGAACTCCACAAAGCAATACACATCAGTGACCTCCACAACAGTCCTCCCAAATACACATGCACAGGTCTCTCCATGAAAGGCAGAAAGACCCTAAGGTTGAAAAAAGGCCAGGAGTTCGTAGTGTGGAAGGACATGTCTTCAGGAATTTAAAATTAGGCTGTACCTACCACCAGTCTTCTGAAGACTGAATATATTTTGGTAACAACATGACAAACTGCTAAGAGCCTTTGTATTTAGAGCTGTGGCTTTAACAGAGACTGCTTGGTTTTCTTCCTTTACAGGCTCTGTACACAGCTTCTTAGGCAAAATAAAGCAACAATCTGGCAGGTGGCAAGAACACAACAATGCCCAGAGCAAATGCTCTCAGTGCTGCTGGATACTGCTGAGGTATAAGGAGAGGTGTCAGAGGTTGCTTAACAGTTTCAATCCTGAAGATCTTGTTGAAACTTAACTCATTCAGCAGATGAAAAACCAGTCAGAAAAACAGGATATGCTACTAGAAGACTTGTAAGACTTGAGTGTCTTCCTGAAACACTTCAGCCACCCAGCAGCATTCCTCACCATCAGTAATCAACTCCACACACAGAGCACTCTGCATGCTCTGGAGGAATCTTCCCCCAAAACCAAAAGGTGATGTTCCATGGGTTTGTTAGTTACAGTCTTTAATTCCAAATCTCCTTTGTCCCAGATAAGAAGCAAAAATAAAAAAACCTGATTTTTGAGGAAATTTAAATTAAATTTAGATTTAACAAATTATACATTTTTAAACTGGATTCAAGACTTAATAGAGCATGAGATCCAAGAAACACATGAAAGAACTGCTAAACACAGGGTAGGACTTAAATCACATCCCAGTTCAAGAGGGATCCAAGCAAATCCATGACTGTAAATTAATGGCAAACTGAGGCTAGAATGTTTGCTTTTACAGAGCATTTAATCACAGGATCATCACCAACCTCCTCCAATACAAGCCACTGTCTACAGCCAAAGAGGGCTTTTATGAGTCTGACTGTCAAACAAAGCTTAAAGGAGAAATGAAACATAAATTAAAAAAAATATAAATAAAAGTTGTGTGTGATTGCATTGACTGGCATTCTGGAGTCAGGATAAAACCCACTATCCAATTATTTGTATTCTCACACATCAAAATAGAGAAACACAGACAGAAAATGGGATGGAGCCCCAGCCCCCTTTCTGTAGATACTTACATATATTGCTCCTAACTGAGTCCTGTCTGCATCAAAAAGCTGGTAGTAATGTTGTATGAAGCTGGACCCAATCTGCTCCCAGATAGGCTTGTCTCCCATTCTGAATCCTCACCCAGAGCCAGTGACTGTGAAACAAACAAACAAACAACAAAATCGTCAGAAGGATCACAGGAATGAGCGTAACACTTGGCTCAAGTATTAGCACTGGCAAACACAAATCCTGTCAGCTGGCCTGAATTTTTCTTTGGGATAAGTAGGACAAATCTCACCTCTGTATCCTAGACTTTTGCAAATAAAAAAGTCTCAGATACCGAATGGTTTAGTTCCTTATTACAGCATTTGGTTTGTGGTGCTATTTCAGTGTGAGGCCACATCTCATGTACAGAAGTGGAGAACGAGAACAAAAATGAGTGTTACCACCTCAGCTTCATATATCACCTTATCTTCACATAGTGCAGAAGTTACACCACCTGAAAAAGCTGGCAAGCACTTGCTGTTTCAACTTGACCTGTTAATATGGATTGTCTGCAAGTGGCTTTACACCAACTGATTCATCTATTTAGCTCCTCAGGTATTTCACCATCCACAGGCCCATCTAAGAGTGTCCTTTCAATGGCACATAACAGGAATTAATTCACTAGCTCATTGCTTAACACAATGCTTCTGCCCATCCTCTTCCATCCTGTCACTGAGGCTGGAGTACACTCCATGTTTATGTTTGAACCTGTAGTAACTTCCAGACACGAACCATGATTTTTTCACAGTGGTGAAAATCTGCAGCTCCCAGTGAAGCTGCTGGAAGCTCAGAGGCATCCCACACTTCTGAACACGAGTCCCTCTATTCTAGAGGGATTAAACACACAGGATGCACAGCAGTCTACACAGACCCAGCCTACAAACCATCATGCACCATCAGCACAGACGATGGCTTTACTACACCATGGCATTTTTCAAGAAAGCAAATTCATTTTTATTTATCCTGATCTCTCTCTGAAAGACTGAAGAATTCTGCTAAGATTCAAACCACAAAAACCCTGCATTCAAAACCCAACTACATCATATTTTAAGATCTGAGTTTACTTCATGCAAACTATATCACCTCAACATCAAGATCTGCCAGCCACCAGTCCCTCTCTGTAATCCCTGACCAGGAATCCTGGAGCTACAGGTTTGAATTGCACTGCCAAGTCTGAAAGGCATGAAATTCTGTTTTAGGACACAGGACATGACAGTTATTTTGGCTTCCTTTAGATGTCAACTACTTACACACCTGTTTTGGATTTGACAAATTCCTAGGAGAAGCAAAACACACATTCCCAAGATCTTCACAGAGGATATTCCCAGGCCTAGTTTTCTGTGCATAGTCGGACAAGAAAGTTCTTTTTGTATTTCAGGCCTTTGGCTGTCTGAGCTCTACTCACACAAATAGGAACCGAAATGGATTCAGATTCTTGGCTGGAAGTTTTAAGGTTACATAAATTCGGCCAGACTTACAGAAGAGCAAATTTCTGTTATCGGATCCCTGGTATAACAACAGGTAGCATCCATGTATTCAGGGTTCTAGGATTTAGGTTTGATGTCTGCTGTTCCCAGTCTAGTCCTGTGAGTACCCAGAGTTGTGTAGTTCGGGATGGTTGTGGGGGAGCCAACAATCAGCACAGCTGAAAACCATTTTGATTCACTTTTTATGGACCATCAAAGATTCAACTTCAACCCATGAACTCACATCACTATTGGGTATCACTCCTAAACATTCAAGTTCAAATCTAGCTGAAAGTATTAACGCTCAACAGTCAAACATCTAACACTGAAATGAAGTCGTGGACAGCAAGAAAACCACCAGCTTATTCTCCTGGAGCTAAAGCAAGTGAGCTATTGCTAAATTAAATTTCCCCATACACATGATGTTTATTCACCCTGAACAACTCACTGTACCATCATACAAACCCAAGATCAAGCTGTACATTAGCACTGCACCTCATTTAGTTCCTCAAGGCACAACAGCCTCACTCGAGCACCAGATGCCTCCTGTTCAACCCTAAAACTGTGAGAAAGCCTTAGAGACTGCAAGGAATGAAGGAATTTGTATTTTAAATATGGAAAGTAGAACTACAGTGTCTAAATCCAAAGATTAGTATGCCAGCCTGCTACCTCCTCCTAAAAACATATTTGTATTTTGATAGGTAATATTCTATTAAATAAATAAAAAAACAGCATAAATTGGACCAGTTATAATGTTGATTTTATCAGAAATGAGAACAAGCTAAAAGTGTGGCTGAAATCAATGATCTTTGACTAATTTTTTTCTGTTTGTTTGTTACAACCTTACTCTTTCCTGTGCCATTCACATATGGTTTTGCTGAACACTCTCTCTCCCTGGAAAGGGTTTTTTATTTTCCTCTTCTGATTCGTCACCTTTTCCTCCACACTGTCTTGTGTTTTCTGCCTGTCGTTACAGGTCTAAGAAGCTTAGAGATGTACCTAAAGAAAGAACAAGATGGGAATGATCTGTGTCATCAAGCCCAGTCCCTTTCAATGAGACACAACCCATGTCAGATTGTATTGATACACTTATCAGTACAATGTTTTAATGAGATAAATGCAATATAAAAGGCTTTTAAGAGCTGTTGCAAAGCTAGGAGGACTGCACGTGTTCTGATGTTGTCAAACACCAGGACAACACAGAATTACTTCAGAGTCATCCAGCTAAATCTGTCCATGGTTCACTCAAAGTTTGGTTACAGAGACAAGAATATTCAGTTAATATAAAGCCAGACAGAAGAAGCTGCAATAAGCTAGAAAGCATGTAAGATGTGGCACACCTGTTCTTTTAAAGGCACCTGCTGAAAGCTACTACTGTGTATGTGTAAGATATTCCACCTTAATTCCCCATGGAAAAGGAGATAATTTGCTTAAGACAACTAATTTTCTTGCCTTTGTCACTTCAAACCAAACCTCCCTCCTCACATCCACTTAAGAACATCACAGTCCATTTGATTAACAGCTTCTTTACAAAAACAGAGCAGGAAAGCTGAGCTACCAACACAGGAGTGCAATACTTTAACTCACATTATTCACTCAATTTCTTGGAATCTGCTCATACCAGAGAGTTTATCCCCACCCCAAAAAACACCCAGCAGTCAGTGATGAAGCTGAAACCCAGTACAGTGCATAAAAGCTGCAGCTCCCAGCAACTCTTGTCTTCAACAGGTACCTGCTGACACTGCAGAACTGGGACTGCTGCTCCACAGGGGACTTCTGCACAGCGACACCTAAATCAAATTTTCCAATACCTTTGCCAGGCCACACACTGACACATCAAGTGTAAGTTCCATCCCTCTACTCACCTCTTGCTATGATTCCTACAAATCCCATCCTACAAGGTATCACATCCCAAGCATCTGCTCTGGCACGTGGCAGATGGCACCAATACCAGGTGAAAAGCAGCACCAAGGAGGAAAATGCATCAGGGTATGAGACAGAGGAAGCCTAGAAGGGAACAGAGCCTTCACAAGGGCCATGAGTGACCTTGAATAAAACTAGGGTTACACTGGCCTTGGGCAGAAGATTTTCTGTCCACAAAATCCAAAAATACAGCATCTTTTCCACTGCCTGCCCCAGCTTCAGTGTTCCTGTCTACACTCATCCCTCTTCCTGCCTTAGCTCTGAGTGTAAGAGATTAGCAGGAGCACACCAACACTGCCCATAACTCCTAGGGGGAACACAGTCCTTAGGAGACCCACTGCTGCCACAGGTTTGGATAAAACCTCTGGATAAAACCTCTTCCTATTGCTTCCTTCACAAGCAAGAAACCATGAAACAATCCGCAGATGATTCTCTGTCAGTTTGCTGCAGCACAAAGTCCGTCTTTCTGCTCAAGTGGCAACACCAGAGGTGTAACTTAAAGAAAAGCACTTTTCTACTTGGAAACAGTAGTCACCTGCCAACAGACAGACTGCCTTCTCTGAAATACAGAAGTACCAGTGACATTTGGAGGAGGTGGGTTACTGTCACATCCCTGCAATATGGAGAAAGAACAAAAAGTTGCTTCAACCAGCAGTTATGCTTTAATGCATTATCAGACCTGGACATATGTAAGCTTGCTCCTATCAATTAAAAAAAAATAACTCGTTTTGAATTGGAGCATGGCAAGCCTGCACTTCTTAAAGAATAGTACATTTTCTGAAAAAGTCAACAAAAACTAGTGTGTGCAATAGTAGAATATAAACTGCTAAATAAAACACAGGTGGTCTGCCAGGGATTGCCACATTTAAAAAGCAGGCTGTATTCAAAGAACTGATGAACAACCATCAGAGGCAAATAAAGTCAATAAAGTCTTTCTAGTCTGCAACACATCAAGAATAAAACCACTGAATTTAAAGAGGAAAAACCTCAAACCAATACATTCTAATATGTTAGCAGAGCAAATTGCCTCCTATTATTCAGTTATGACTATATTTATTTTGCAGGTAATCCCAGCATAAATAAACCATGCTCCCTGGATATTATAACACCACTCCACCGAAATTAAACTCAAGCCTGTTTTCTGGAAGATCTGAGAATCAGTGTAACGAGAGAGCACAAACACAGCCTTTAAATAGGTGCTGCTGGTCCAGGAGTACAAGGGAATTCACAACAAACGTGGTTCAGACCATCAGTTGCTGCACCCTTCACTACTGATTAACAGGAGTAAATAAGGACAAGGCTCTCAGTTGTTTCAGTTCCTGATACTCTTGCAATTTTACTACCACACAGGTATTTTAGGTTGCTCAGATTAAGGAGTGAGCAGTGTTTAGACTGTGGTAAAAAAACTAAAACAGCAAACAGCTTTAGACTATTTTTCCTTCAGTCTCTTTTCTACTGCTGCTAAAACTTGCAAAGACAGGAGTGTCTCCAGTGTGTGCTTTCTAGGAACACAATGGAACCAGCATCACAGGACCAGTTAATCTGTCAAGCAGGTCACCTATTCAACTCCACCAACACTTGATAACAGATCATCCCTTTAGCAAAGGATACACACCCAACAGCAGAAGCTATGCAAATTATCACAGAATAATGCAGGTTGTAAGGGACCTCCTCCAGCCCAAAGCAGACAAACCTGTTCCACTGCCTGACCACCCTCATGCAGAGGGCAGCTCTCTGGTGTCCAACCTGAATCCCTTCTGTTCCAGTTTAAGCCCCTTGTGTCCTGTTCTCCCGCTGGGTACTGCTGTGAAAAGCCTGGCTCCATTCTCCTGATAACAGCCTGACAGAGATGGGGCTGGGATGAAGCTGCTCGAGCCTTCTCTAGACTAAACAAGCCCAGGCCAGGCAGAACACGCAGTGACACAGGGATGGAGAACCACTGGAACTCACTGAGGGACATCATGAATCATCAACCATTTATCTTTGACACATTGTACCTCTGTCTGACTAATGCCAATTCAGTGGTCAGTCTTTCTCTGCTTGAAAACCCATGAAATTTCCAGTTGAGGAGCAAATTGATGCATTCAGAGACAGAAGGAAAGAAGTGCTTCTCTCAGGTATTTTCACAATCATCTCCACAGTAGCTGACTGATCCATGGGGGCAAACCCTCTGCAAACTACAGCTCCAGGCCAATCAGAAACTATTGATTTCAACAGAGACCTCCACCTAGTTACTGCCATGGGCTGTGCTGTGCAAGAAATTACATTACTTTAAATACGCTTTTAGATCTAAAAATAATTAAGTCTAGATAAGTGAACAGCAAGAAGATGGAAAGGGAGAAGGGTGAAGAAAGAATCACAAGGTGACAAGGTGCAGATTATTTCCTTCTGGGAAATACATGTACTTCCCCCTTTTTAGTCTTTTTATTCCTCTATTCCAACTTCAATAAAACAAATTAATGTGGGAATTATGCCAACCTGAAGTATTTTTTTTTGGTTAGAGACATCAGCAAGTATAAGGCCACTGGTACACAAACCACATGGGGAGGACTCTGGGAAAGCTTTCACTGTGCCTGCAGCTTGATGCTCATCCTAACTGCAACCTGACAACACAGGAGTCACAGTCAGTCAGGATGATTTTCAAACATCCAGACATATATCACACATAACTGGAGAGGAAGACAGAATGTCTTGTTGTTAAGCAAGAGCCACAATGCTGCACATCTGCCTTTTTTGCACAGTATTTTTCAAGCAAGCCAAAATCCGAATTCAAGTTTACAAGGCTGAATTTCCCGAGCCACGTTTCCTTTCCCCGGGAAGAATCCAAGACTGCTCAGTTTTAAAAGAACAGAGGAGGCACTGGGGAATCAGAAGGGAGAACTGCTACATCGTGTTTTTCTTTACCTTACAGACACAGTAACAAAACATTATCTCCAAAAACTGCCACAATGTCTAAGAGTTTTAAAACAACCAAAAAGAATTATTGCTACCAGCTCTTAGTATATATTGCAACTCCTACACGAACCATAATCTACATCTGCAATAACTAGATAACCCTATTATTAACAGGGACAAAAGAAATCCCAGCAGAGGGAACTGCAGAAAGTTGTTACCATTTGCATTTTTCTAAAGACCTGAACAAACACAGATATTAAGCAAATGCATTTCAAATCATCTAGCAAATAACTTGCAAGCATCTAGACATGAAATAATGATTAGGATCCCAGTGGGAAAACAGTTAAACAGTCCCAAAGAGAGCCAAAATATCACCAAAATTTAAATGAGGTGAGGTTTTTCACTACATACAGTAATTTTGCTACTTCTATGTGGAGATCTGTGAAACGCCTTTTTTTGTTGCTGCTAAAACAAAACTCAAAGTCACCACACACAGACACTGCTTGAACACAACTCCTCAAGAAGCCAAAAGAGTACCAACTTGAGAAGGCAGCTGATTAAGGAATCAGATTTAACTTTCAAGCAACAGTTCTGCAACCAATTCCTGTTCAAGCATTTACCTGGGCTTTTTTTCCAGCTCAACTGCAATACAGCGTGTCCAACTCTAAAAGATACAATTACACCGGAAATTATGGACTTCAAATGAGCTGAAGCATTATAACAGCCTGCCTCGGACAGGAAGTTAAATTTGGATTGCAAGAACGGTGTCTTGGGGACTTAAATGTCTTCAGAAAGCCATGTCATATTAACTGAATGCAACACGCTGTCCTTGCTATTGGAGACCTTTGCAGGTTTTGATTGTTTTTAAACTTAAAAAGTGACAACAGCCAGAGGGGTGAAGAAAAAAAATTATCTCCTGTAGAACACACTGGAAACTGGCAACTCAAAGTGAAAAACTAGACGGCTGCAGCAGATCACTGAGCACATGCACTTTGCTAGTTTTACTCCAAGGAAGCACGAACCCTTCGCTTCCAATGTGACAAAGACTCAGCCGGGTCAGGTAACCTCAGTCCTCGCACAAACCTTCTGGCAAGACACAAAACAGCAAGAACATCAAAAAAACACCACTCCGAGCACGAGCACACCCTCTGCGCTACACAAACCACCTCCTCGCAGCTCCCGGCTCAGCCCCTCTACCTCTGCTCCCTGCCATACCGAGCCAAAGCAAGGCAAGGCAGCGGCACCGGCGGGCGCCAGGCCGAGGAGAAGCCCCCGGTGGCCCGGAGGGTCGCGGCGGCAGCTCCCGGAGCCCGGTGAGGCACATCCCGCCCCTCCCCGTCACCTCCGCCCCCGCCGGAGCGATCTGTGCCCCGGGGCCCCTCGCTCCCCCCGGGGGAGCTGGGCCAGGGCCACCCGCCCGCCCGCCCACCCACACGCGGGGCCCCGCCAACCCCGCCGGCTGCCCGGCTCCCCCCGCCGCCGCCGCCGCCCCTCCGGGACCGCGCTGCCGGCGCCTCAAAGACGGGGAAGGTCAGGGCGGCTCCGGCCGTCGGCTGCCGC